CACTAGACGGGCGTCTACCATCAGTCAACCCCGGATCGGTCATATGGGCGTTGACTGCAGCTACCATGCCAGAGGGGGGCACAATTGCCTGCTCGCCTAGACCATTTCCCCCAGTTTGGGGAGCAAACCCAGGACCATAAAAGGCAGGCGCAGCATTATGCGCAGGAGTCACAAATCCGCCACCAGTGTGGCCATCAGCTGCATCAGCATGACGCTGTGCCAAAACAGGATTCAATCCAGCATTATCACCTGACTGCGTCACTGTGCCATTATGGTTACCACCCAAATCTGCCATACTTACTCTCCTTGGGAAGGTGAGGCGTTTCCTGACAGGAGGACGCCGTACGGGGGAGCGGGAGCGAGATCTATGAGGTCTGCGAGATCTGTGGAGATTGCGCTTTTCCAAGTGTGGATGAAGAGGCCTCTCCTCATCCGAGTCGCTACTCTCCTTGGCCAGAGCCCGTGCCCAGTGGCCACGGGGGGGCAGTACCACAACAGTTGGTTTGTCAACAACAGGAAGCGCAGGGAGTGATTCTATGCTGCTGAGTGAACAGTCGCTCAAAGATGGGGATGGCGAGCGCATGCTAGAATGCTAGAAAAATAAGGCGCCCTAGCGCCAAAGTGAACTTCTGCTTGAATTTCTAGCGGCGAGTTGGAAATGAAAGCTACGCAACTCGCTGCAAGGGTTTTATAGTCGAATTTCCTAGTCTGCAGCTAGGTTTATTATTATCGAAAAAGTCTTATCGAACTATTCAACACTATTATCGCACTCTAGCCTATTCGATAATAGTCTACATTCCGCCATGCTTATGCAAGCTGTGCACTTTATGCACTGATGTCTGAGTGACTGCTTGCTGCACATGCAGTGGGCGCCACATTTTGTGGGTTAACGCAACCCCAGGACAAATCTGCCGTCGGCCAGAAGACCGGCACTAATACCGGGGACTACTGCCCGCGATCCCGTCAGGAGAACCGGCATCTGCCCACGGAACAACGTCGAATTGTCGCTAACTCGACGAGTCGAAACCCTGAATCATGCCGTGGGCGAGTCCAACATGCAAGCAAGGACGTCCGACGTCTCCTCTCCATCATCATGATCTCTTAATTCCTTCACCGTGGCACAGCAGTGTAGTTATATGGTCAATCCGAGAATGATCTGTTTTCATGCAGTAAACGGTCGACAGAGTGGTACAGTACTCGCAGACGTCCATTCGGGTACGTACGCGCCCGAATTTGTCAACCACCGGCGACATGAACACTTCTCTTGAGGCCTGGGGCCTCGTCAAGGGAGTTCATTCCGTGTCGATCCAGGGGCCAGCCCTCTCTGAGCTGGGTATGTTGTTTTGGATAACCAGACCGATCAATCACCGTAATGAGGCGCTAGTCATTTAGTCAAATGGCCGCATGCATTGCTTGCTAGATGTTTCGACTATGATTCTCATCTCGGAAACATTCAGAGTGCTCGAGTTCGATTCGACTACCTTAAGTTCGAGTCCGTTTGCTTGTGCAGGCTATCAAAGTGGTCGAACGCCAGGACTCGAGCGCGTGCGGCGCCTATCGATCGACAGTGCAATTATGACGGTCGGCCGGTAAGTGTTGATGTAGGGTGCACTTCGTTATCATTCAGAGAGGTTGCAGCGGGGCGTACGCTTCAGAGCAATCGTTGTGCTGCATGCGCTTGGAGAACGGCTTGCAGCTTTCCCGATTGTTGTATGTGCATCGATCAGCGAGCCTGCATGGCCTGAACTTACCGATCGAGAACAATAGTCAAACACCGGAGACATTCGAGCTGTCCCATCAACACGTACACATGCTGAAGCCACTTGACATCGACAGAAGATCCGACCGTGTTCGAAAGCGACCAACATTTGGTGAGATGTCGAAGGCTCAGTCCTTACTTAGAATGTAACCATGCTCGTCGAGTGTACTTGCTTAGCTAGCACCCTTTACATGAATGCTGAGTCTACAAAGTAATCTAGGTTTGCGGAGCCGCATATTGCAGCCCTGTCTGATCCTTTCAAGCTTACCGAGGCAACCTGCTGATTACTTCAGCAGGCTGTAGCAACGGCAAGTTCCGCCTAATCAGTGCTTTATCGTCGCTTTCAGAACTCTGTGCACTACCGCTCTGGATGCCGGGTTAGAGTGCCAAGCGGTTCTTTTTGCACCAGTTTGGTAATCATGTATCAATCTGAGACTAAGAAGTAGACAGAACTACTTGCACTACAGGCACATCGTCCAACTCGTTCTCATCCTCGAGGAGATGGGAAGGGAACGGATCCGTCTCCTCCCATTCCGACTCGGAACCGGAGTCGCCCACTGCGCTCAATTCCTCTTCCAGGCCCCGACTAGACTCCCGGTTTGCCACGCCCTCATTCCCTTGATCTGCAGCGTTCTCATCCAACCTTTCGACGCCCTCGGCACTCAAACGTCTTTCCTCTTCCACTTGACCGTTCTCAGTTTCAAACGTACCAGTGTCGATCTCAAGACTCCCGTCAAGACTCTGCTGCAGACTGTCATCGAACGAACGAACGGAGTCCCGTTTGACGGGCGCGCCAAACGCCTTCGAGCTCCTTCTGCGGGAGAGCCGCGCTGCGGCTTCGACGGCGTCGGGACGCCGAGACGTTTTCGGCCGAAGGGCAGGGGAGGCAGCGGGCTGAGAATCTTTAGCGGTCGCGGGCGCCCAGTCGCTCTGGTCGAACGGCGACGCGGGGTTCGAGGGTTCTGGCCGCGGGGAAGGGGATGCGCGCGCACCAGCAAACCTGTGGAAGAAGGGTAACGAAAACCGTTCTCGTCGGTAGAAGATGGTCGCATCAGTGAGATTCTAACTTCTAGAGTTCTGCTAGAGCTTTTATTTTTTTGTGCACCTCTATGACGGAGAGATTTTTCGTAGTTTTTCCGAGACTCAAAGCCGTTAACCGAAGAAGACCCGTCACATCGCAGGGATTTTGGCGCTTGACCGCCAGAACCTCAAAGGCTTTCAATACATGGACTGGAGTCGACTTGAGTAGGATAGTGCAAAAGTCAGGTTCCTTTGGCAATCGAGGGATTTTGGCTCATAGCCTTTCTTGAACACCTCCTCAAATGCAAATGCCTGTCAATAACGCATCCGATCTTACCCGTGCATTACACCTTACGTACGACACTTAGGGAGGACTGAGCAAATGAGAAGTGCGTAATCGCAGACAAAATTAGCGTTATTGTCCTTGACAAGGACCCAAAACAAAAAGCGAGGAGAAACGGGGGGCGAGGACTTCGAGGATGCGAAGATAAGATAACAAGCGACACGATGCATTTATGGTGAGACGCGCAAGGATCTGTCAAAAACTTGCCCCAGGCTATCTTTAACTCACCTAAGCCGCGAAACTTCAGCCAACAGAATCTTGATTCTTTCCGACTGCTCGGCGATCGTGTCCGCGTCACTGAGGCGCCCCGCGGCCGCGTCTTGCGCGAGCGGGTTATTGACCATCTTAACCAGCAGGCAGCACTCCTCCTCTTTCATCTGAAATAGAACGGCGGGTAACGTTAGTAAGGGTCTAAGGAAATACTCAATCTGTCTTGGACCTTCTGCGAGCGTCGAATTGGGACAGGAGGCAGCATTCCTCCTCTTTCATCTTGAGAATCGGGGTTCGTTATCGGGTTAGCAATGGTTCAGGGTACTACTTGACCTCTCGAGGACGCTCTCCGGGGCATCGAACGGATACAGAACCATCTTAACCAGCGGGTAATATTTGGTCCTTCTCTTTCAACTAACCCCGCGATCGGTACCGGATTAGCAAGGACTTAGGGGAGTGCTCAACCTTCTTCAAATACATTTGCAACCATTCCAGCCAGCAGGTAGACTCCTTTCTCATCAGAACGCGGGGTTGGGTACCGGGTTCGCAAGGGGGTTAGGAAGACCTTGGGGCACCTGAGAGCATTTAAAACTTTGTACGTCTCGTAGCTGTGGCAAATGTTCGACCTTCTTGGGTATGGGCCAGTAATATTCCCGTTAACCTCGCAGCCTTGATTAGATAACGGATTTTGCACCAGTAACCGTGATTCGCATCCTATGATTGGAGCGGTGTCTGTTCTTGTCTCTAAGCAGATTTCCTCCGTCAGGTCCATCCCATGTGAACCGTGCGTCTGACATGTTCTCTACCTTCAAGATATAACCGCCGGCCATCGATCTACAAGCCCAGATAGATTGACTGAAAGAGAGAAGAAAGCTCCTGACAGACGGTACGATGGATCAGCTTATAGCCGAGACAGAAACCTCCGGGTACAAAGTCTCTCAACAAGTTGTGGCGGGAAACCCGATTACCTTCTTGTAACGTCGATTTCGGTACAGTATACAACATAGTCAGAGCATATTCCCACCTGCACGTCTCGCAGCAGCGCCTCTTTCTGCTCCTTCTCCTGATTGCACCGCCCCTCGAGAGCCGCGCTCCGTTTCCGTATCGTCCTCATGCGGTCCTCCAAATTCGCGAGCTCGTCTTCGACCTTCGTGCGCGCCTGCAGAAGATTCATAAGAGAGTTTCAGAGTGCATCGAAACACGTTGTTGTACTGTAAAGATATCAGTTTCCAAGCGCAGGGTTTGCAGCTTTTCCGTATCGTCTAGGTACGGTCCTCCAGCTCCGCGATCTTTATCGTGCGCGCCCGCAGATCTGAAGTATTTTGAAATTGACAGTCCTGCAAGGCCATATGATATTCACTATGTTACAGCTCTGGGTGTCGGATGGAGAACTGGACCTCGGCATTCTTCCACGCAGCGTTTTGCTTCGGCCCCAAGACCATTAAGTTGGAGCTTACTAGATCCTGCTTGCTAAAGTCTTCCGTTATAGAAGCAGTTTCTCTGAATGTGATTCAAGCGCCTTTCATTTGTCCCTCTGCCTAATTGCGCCTCCAAATGGCGTTTGATTGACAACAGCTAGCAAGGATTGGTGCAAACGTTTTGTGCCACTCCTCTGGCCGTCGCACAAACCTCGTCTATGATATTGTATTCCAGTGAAATAGCTTTCGTTTTGATTTAGAGAAGGCCGTTCGCAAATGGCTTCGTCAGATGCACATGAAGAAAGAAGCGGCAGCTTTGAAGGCGGCAAACAGCAGTGTAACGGACCTTCTGTTCCGCTTCTAGTGTCTCTCCCAACGCTTTGACTTTCCTCTGGAGCACGTCAACTTTCCGGTCCCGTTTCACCGTCCGCTCCAGCAGTTCCGCTCGTACGGAACGGAGCGAATCCACCTCCGCACAAACCTGGCAACAAACGTTACTCGGTCCGGTAAGACCTTGCCATTCTCAAATTGAGACAATCCTTGCTTGTCGCGAGAACCCTGAGGTTTTTGTCTTTTCAAGCAATTGCTGTGGCGTCTTTACAAGCCCATAGGTTGGTGCATTGAAAAAAGAAGGTGGCTGAAAGAGAAAGGCTCGACTGTATCCTTAGGATGCACTCCTGTTTGGGGACAGCGGTATGAGAGCTAGAAAGCCGGCTACGAAAATCTTGAACAGCAATACTCAAGGTGGCTTGGCAATGAACATCCGGAATCCAGAAAACTCAGCAGAAAAAAACACATCACCAACCGCTTGGCAGTCTGGTTCCGATTAGGATACGTAAAAGATCGAGGAGACTTGCCAATGAGTGACAGCCTTGACATCTCCATCAGGATTCAGAAGACGCTGTCGTATTCATCCTTTTATGCGGCAACAACCCGTTTTCATCAATCTGTTGGTTTGATTTCATACCGCGAAAAGCTGATCCAAAGCAATTATTACCGCGAAAAGCTGATCCAAAGCAAGAGAATGAAGCGGGCAAAACCTTACTTGCTCGAATTCGCTCCTTCTTCGTTCCTCTTGCTCCAGCAACTGCGCGCGCGCGTCGACCTCCGCCTTCAGATGCGCTTCCAGCTTTTCGTTCTTGGCGCGTTGTCGATCTAGTTCGTGCGCCTGCGCCTGGCACCGCTTCTCGACCTCCTCGCTTTGGAGAGTCTGCAGTGGCGCATTGGTGTCAATCAATTTTTTTTGCGCATGAATCAATCGCCTTCAGAAGGGCTTGGAGCTTTTCGTTCTTGGCGTGTTGTCGATCTAGTTCGTGCTCCTGAGACTGACACCGCTTCTCGACCTCCTCGCTTTGGAGAGTCTGCAGCAGTGAGTTGGTGTCAAATCAGATAGTGATCGCGCATGTGTAAACTGCTCGTTTGGCCTTCGGCAGAACGAGGTTGTTTTTCTAAACAGGTTTAAGCAGTGATTTCGATTCCTTCTCACTTAAGCATGATTCAACCGAGAATAGAACCAGCCAATCCCGCCTCCAACCATTATTGATTTGCACGTTTCGTTGATTGTTTGCTGGGCTTACAGCTCCGCGAATAAACACAATCGGACACATCGTGCTGATAGCGAGCCCAGCCGCACTTGACTTCGCGTCTAGAGCCCTCGCACAAGCACGGTCGCTGCCTGAGCCCTCTCCATGAACTTACTCTCTTATGAGACGACCGCCAAGATTACGAAAACTCTTCAGCAGATTCGTCAAACCTGAGTTGCCGTTCTTACACTCGATTCCAAAACTCCACGCACGGGCACAAAGCTTCAAACCAGGGAACCTGAACCCAGAGATCCGTACCCCAGAAAAAGCCTTACCCCAGAAACCCTCAAACTAGAGAACAATATCTCGGAGACCTCGAAGCTAACAGGCTGTGATTAACCTTGCCTCTAGAGCTTCTCAAACAGTCACGATGGCAGCCTGTGCCTTGTCCATAAAGTCAGTCTATTCTGGAGACCTCCCGGTTTGGAATAACCTACCAAAAAACCCTGAAAGATATTCGGACGTGCTTACCCCCCCTTCGAAAGCCTCCCGCACGGCCAGAAAGTCTCTACCCAGAAAGCCTCTACCCAAAATGATCGAGTAAACAGCTTCCTCATGAGTTCTCAAAGTTGATAGCCAAAGCTTACCTTTGAGTCTAAAGGCGTCCCGCACGGGCACAATAGCCGCGTGCGCCGTGTCCACAAAGAAGACCGCCAAGTTTAGAAGAGCTTACCCGAAAAGGCTCAAAGCTTACCAGGCTGTGCTTTATATATGCTTGCTTCTAAAGCCTCCCGCATGGCCAGAGCGTCTCAATACCGAAAGCATCTACCCAGAACCTTCGATCAATGAATCAGCCTCTCAGAACTTCTCAAATTTTCTAATCAGCCAAGCTTGCCTTCATTTCTAAAGCCTACCGCACGGGTACGACCGTCTGTCGGCTGCAAGTTCACTCTTTCCCAGATTCCCCCCTAGATTACCATACGTCGAGGAACCCCTCAAAGCTGGCGGGCTCCGCTTACGCTTGCTTACCCTTTCGAACAAGAATCCAAGAATCCGGATCCAGAAAACTCAAAGCTGGCCTGCTGTGCTTACCTTTGCTTCGAGACCCTTTCGAACAATAGCCAAGCAATCAGAATCCAGATATCCAAAAGCTGGCCTGCTGTGCTTACCTTCGCTTCTAGAGCCTCCCGCACCGGCACGATCGCCGCCTGTACCCTCTCATATTACGATCTCTGACCAAGTTATGGTTTAAAATGTGTCATCCGGAAACCCTTGATTCGATTTTAGACGAACTGGCCCGCTTACCTTCGCTTCTAAAGCTTCTCGAACGGGCACGATTGCCGCCTGCGCCCTCTCCGCGAGAGAGAGCGCCTCGTCACGCGACTCTTCGAGCGACTTCACTTTCTTGATGAGCTGCAGAACGAAGCAGAGACGCTTAGCTCGGGAACACATCACACGGTCCTATGCCAGTCATTCCGAGATGATCTGTTTCGTATCGCTGCGCTCACGGATCCACCAGTTGATACTTTAACCTAGCAATGCGTTGTTCAGCTGCTGGTGGCAAAATCTTCGGCGTCCTGAATCCGTTCAACTATTATACGTGGCACGCTTGACTAGCGATTGAGTGACACCCTTCCAGCGCGACAGCTACGCAATTTCCCAAGCGCTAACCTTAATCAAGTGCTACGCCTAACCTGAAAACCTCCTCATACAGCCTTCCTGCTCTTAGATGCAAACCTTCTGCCTTTCTATATCAATTCGACCAAAGCACACCGGTCTTAAGGGTTGAGAAGGGCAACCAAAGCCAACAAGAAGGCCTAAATGCTGAGGGTTGAGAAGGCCAATTGAGATTCACATTGACGGAAAGCCTCTTACCAGCGCCAATCGGTGGTCCTTTCCAAACCCCGGCCCCTCGAGCCGCGCCCCGGCCGCATCTTCCGGCTGTAACACCTGGTCGACGGCATTCATCTGGCGTTTCATCCGCTCGTTCGCCTTTTCCGACCGGAGCTTCGCGTTCCGGGCTTTGAGAGAGCGGACCTGCGCAAATAAAACCTGAGTTTGTCAACAACCCCTCTGAAGGCCGAACACATTAGGTCTTCCGATACCAGGTAACCTGATTGTCGTTACTTTGACTAGAGCTTCTCAAAGAAGAAGTTCAGCGAGCGACGTTACCGCGGCAAAGCGGTTATTTCAAGTAGTTTCACAATGGTAAATGATTCTAGTGACCTCTGTTGCACTATACAAATGGTGCTGCTTCAGCCCGATCTCGAGTTGCTTTAGTTTCTATTAGCAACATGCATTTCTATTGGCTCACATCGAACCAGCAAAATGAACGCTTTGATCTTTGCTCAGAAACCGGCACTCATTCTGAATACCAGACCCAAAGGAGCAGGAAAGGGTTTACTTCTCAACAAAGCCGCACCTGTGAACTTTGAAACGCATGTTTAAATCGTAGAGCTGGTAATCGCATTGCAGGGGCAGCATCCATACAAGCACCTTGCCAATCAAGAACCCCACCCACCTCCACGTCCTTCTCTCGAAGCGACGCCTCTAGTTCTCGGCACCGCTCGGTCGCGGCCGCGCACTGCTGCTGCAGTGCGGTCAGCTGCGAGTCCCGAACCTCCAAACCCTCGCGACCCGCGGCCGCGCCGCGGCCGCGGCTCGAATAGAGACGCCCTGGTGACGTCATGCGCCCGGGAGACGTCATCCTCTGGCGGTCGACGCTGCTGGCGCGGCCGCGGGGGGTGGTCTTCCGGGGGCCAGCTTCGGTTCGCGCTGCAAATGAAGTCGAGCGTTGCGATCAGGACCTCATTCGGCGTTTGTTTCCTTCGCGGTCTCAGAAATCATTGCTGGGGCGAGCACTTTTCTCCTTTGACCACCCCTTCTCTCCGCTGAAAACTCCTTTCCGCCGATCAACGATCGATGACTACAGTGAACGTCAGAAGGAAGGTTGGGATACGCGGAGGCTATTTGCGAAGTGTCTCTGCTTAAGAGGAGGGACTCGGAGAGGTTGCCCCTATCATCTTCGTACAAGCCAAGTATGCGCGTATCGCTCTGAACCGCCTAAGGCTTCTGCGAACATCCCTATAGCCTTCAAAAAGACACAAACAAGACACGAAAAGACACAACAAACATAATCTCAGAACCAAGGAAATGCAAGATCTTTAACCTGGAATCAATCCAGAAACGAGGGTAGAGGGCTTCGCTCGCCTTACCTGTGCCGGGCCGTCTCATTCGCTCCGTCGATCGCTGACTGGCCAACGCTTTTGACCAGTCGCTTCCTGGAGCCTCCCCGCCGGGAGAGGCGATCTGTTGCGGTTGCTGAGGAAGGGCCGCTGAGAGACGCGCGAACACCCTGAAAGACACCCAGAATCCGGTTAGATAGACCTGTAGGTTAGACAGGATGGTCATAAGTGGGATATGGTTCTGGCTCGGAGAACTGGTAGGATTAGGTTGGGGGTTAGGGCGGGTACGGGGCGGAACGGGTACATTTGTTGGTTACGTTTGTAGTTTTGTTTGGCCTTGGGGACTATTGCTCTCCTACCTTATCGTACCTAGAACTCCCTACCTAAATCATAGGAGTATCTCAATGAGGCCGTCGTTTGATCTGTGCGGTCCATCAAAGGCTGCTGAAGGAGCATGGATCGTTCTGTACAAGATGACAGCATTTTGCGCACGTCGTTTTTGAAGGGAGGTTCAAGGGAGCTCAATCGCGTGAGAAGGTCTCAGGCCGATTCTATTTTGCAGAAGACTTTCATAGGCTGTTGTCCACCTGATGATTGCGAAGCTGGCGACTTCTTGTTGTTTCTGAGAGTCCATTTGAGTGTCAGAAACCAGCTGACGGATCTTAAGCGCCAGCGCAGAAGTTCAAATTGACAGACAGACGACACTTCTTCAATTATTGCCGCGTGTGGGTGGCCCATCAATTCAATCTTAGCTGCTGTGTAATAGTGCATAGACCTCTGATCTCCGCCGCTAGAAGCAGTGGTGGAAGCTTGGCCTTACCGTGAAAGGGCAGCTTGATTTGCATTCGCTGGAATTGGAAGTCGATCCATGAAAGGCACCGTCTGCTGTGCTTGCTGCAAACAAAAAGGGCGCTGGTTCGCTGCGTTGCGCATTTTTCTGCTCGCTCTGGTTCGCAGGTCAAGATGATGATTGCTCGAAGTTGAATGGTCTGTTTGTTGCAGCCAAATTAAACGACTCAATTTGGAACCCCATGGGATGCAAGCGGATGATCTCAGCATAAGCCAGTTCCAGATTGACTCACAATTGTTCTATTCGATTTATTCAATAGGGCCGGAGCTTAAATCCTGACAACTCTACATTGTGTGGTTCGGAAGCGGGGAGCCTGTTGTGCAAATGCGATCAAAGCAGTGGAGACTAGTGAATATGCCAATTTAACAGCGGGCGTCAATGAAGTCAGAGGTAGAGTCCGCCAGGCGGTTTGACGCAGACAGGTCAAAAGATCTAAGCTTCTCCCTCTCCAGCAGCCGGATTCTCCCAGTAGTTTCTAGAAAGGCAAGCATGTAGGAGCTCACACCCAACAGGAATCTGAAGACCGTAAAATCAGTGGGCCTTGAACTTCACTGCGCAACCAGCACAAAACGGGGACACTTGCCGAAGGGCACAACAGAAGATTCATGGCTGTTCAATGCACAGGGGACCTAGAGCTTACTTCGTGAGGCCCTGCCATTGCTTTGGTGGTCAACTTCAGCAGAGCCCGGCTTCAGATACGCCCATCGATACAGGGCCTCGAAGGCTAACGCGTTAAAAATCGGACCCCAAAAATGTTGACACTTTGAGGACTGAGACTTTCTGCTGGCTTTTGAACGTATCGACACACAATAAAAGTAGCGCTTGAATGGTGCGCTTGGTTGCGTGACCTGCAGGCAATGAGCTTGATCAGAACCAGGCGGTAAATAGGATCTTCCATTTCAACAGGTTCTGTCACTTTTGGCGGTTACAGCATTGGCCGAATGCCACTTGAGCAACCTCTGTCTTGGACGGGCACCTTGCAAACTTATATCTTCTGAAAAGGGACACGAGCAGTGCATTATCTCACAAAAGCGGCTTATTTGGAAAGTGACGTAAAACTGCTAGATGCACTAAATATGGGCAGAGCGCAAATAATGCTTTGGTGTATATTGAAAGGTCTGCCGCCTCTAGACCTGTGTGTACAGCTGATTGCTTTACGAGTCACAGTTCGCTGCTTATTCCATGACCATAGTGTTTCTGCGCAAGTCTTATGCTTGCCAAATGCCTATGCCATTCAGAAACCGTAGCTCTCTATGAATGGAACAAGTTCTTCGTATTACTTAGCCTGGCCCCAGGCTTTTGCGGTTTGATTTGGCCCCCACCATTGATCTCCAGCAATATACTGCCAGAAAGATTCAGGGATAGTGCCTATTTACAGAAGCAACTGCAGCTGTTGGCCCTAGTTACACGCTCGTCTAAGTAGAACATGTGGTGCTCGGACGGCAAGTTCCGGCAAAGGTGTGTCACCCTGTAGTTGGCTCACCTTCAGATACGCCCGCTTCTATTCACCCAATCAATAGGTACGGTCCGTCCCCAACACAGGTTTAATGCGGACTCTCAAAAATCAGTCACGCATTTTCCTACAAAGGACCTTGCATGCATGTGGCTACGACCGGAGTCTTCGAACCCTAATCGCTCGGCGTCATTAGGTCTCCCTATCAAAGTATGGATTCTGATATATCTGCCGTTGAAAAGCCTTCGTAGCCTGAGACTTATGTTTCAATGATCAAATGAGAATGAGTTCAGCCTTCCACAACCTTTAAATTGGACAGCGCTCATCAAACCTGCCTCCCAGGCCTTCCTTTCACGCTCTGGCCCCTTGATCCTTAGCTAAGGACAGGAAGCCTCCTGTTGGACGCAATCATACACACTGTACAGATGCCGTCCCTTCTACGTCATCCTTCTCGATCTCCCTAGGCTTCTTGTCGAGAGAGAAAGGTGTCCAAACTGTCACGTTCGGGGCAAGCAGAGCCGGGCGCCGCCGGCGCAGGCTAGTCCTAGTCGCAACCCGCTAGGTAAGCTTTGGACATCCTTTCTGCACGGCCAGGTGTCTACCTAAAAAATGTAGGGATAAACTTTAATAGTAATAAGGAACTTAAGGTACAGCAGTACGGGTGGGGTTAGCATGGTGGTTAGGGTGGGTTCGGGTGCGGAGCATGTCATTTTGTCCCTAGGGTTTTAGTGTTGGTTAAGCCGAGGAATTGAGTACTTTCAGTACCTAAGATGCTTATCGCTATTAACGTTTATGGTTATCTAAAAAATGCCCAAAGCTGCCAACGTTTATTACCGCACCCAGATCGACCTTTTGTGTACTGTACAGTATTACACATTTGTCATTCTTGAAGTTTGGGTCACAGAGTCAGGCAGATACATCAGATTAAAACATGCAAGACGTGCAACCAGCCGTCCAGACTTGAGCGCAAACCAGTCGGCGCTCAGCTCTAAGGCTGGCCTTTTCCGACCGTCGATGATTCTCGCAGAGGTTCGGAGATTTCTTATAGCCGGGGTTCTGCGGCCGCGGCCCGACTCCCATGAACGATCGCGCACGTACCAACGCCAACTGATGGCATGCACGCGCTGACCGTACGTTCGCCGCCGGATCTCCGAGGGCGAGCTCGCTCTGCACATAGACACATACTTCTGATTATAATTATGGACATGGGACACTCTCGGAACATGCACTACGTTTACAGCGAGCCTCAACTCGCTTTTTTATCACGCACTCAGTCTTGCTAGCGCGGCGCCTTCTGGACAGGCTTCCGAGCCAGTCGATTTTTTGGCGGCGGTGCAGTGAGTCTGATAGCTTCTCCGGTGAGGCGGCTGTACACGGTTCGTGCGTGACGCGCGACGGTTAATTCGATCAATCATGACAATATTATAGTGCTGATTTTGTATATCGCATATTTCTGCTCAACATCAATCAAGTAGTACTTATGAAGGCGGCGGGCGCTAATGCGCCTACGATATAGTTGACCCTGACTGGCAAGTTTTCGGCCAGAACCAAGGTCAATCATGTGCGGGGTCGTGTCGCCACTCGTGACTTGATCAAATGTACTTGTGGCACTGATAACAGGGGAGGCTTTTCAATCTCGCAATGAGGTAATGTCGGGTGCGATGCGGCGGCCAGCAATCGAACACTGAATGCATCATGTAGCCGTGCTCGAGCAACATGTGAATGCCGTGCATGATTGCTGACGTCGGAGGTTGCATAAGCCTTGCCCGACTAGAGGCTAGGCGCCATGCCTGAAGTGGGAATTCAAAAAAGGAGACGCGCCAAATATAAATCAGGCGGGGAGTCCTGGAAAATCATGTTGAATGTTAAAACGCGGGCTGTCAACGGTTGAAGAATTGAGCGACGTCATCATGTGATATTGTTGTCAGAAAGTTGTCCTATGCAGGTTGCGCAAGTCAGAGGGGCCAGCCGACCCTGAGGTCAGAGCTCTATGTGAAAGCCGGTTAGTGGCTGTCAAAAGCCGGTTAGTGGCTGTAAAAAACAAGACGGGATAAATAAATTTCTTAGCTACAGTCACCTCTGCTGAGTGGGTCCGTGAGGGCGAATGATGGCGGGTTTTGTTGCACAGCTTCCGGTGCGGAACCCAAGCTAGTGAAATAAGTGTTGGCGTGCTTGTGGTGAGTGACATGTGTCTGTATGATGGGAACTTTTCCGCCTAGTGGGCTTTCGAGTTTGCCTACTATTCTGGTCACAGACAACCAGTATTTACAAAATAAGTTCTCGCAATACCTCTAACTGCGTGTCGTACTCGAAGCAATGCGCTTACAAACTTGACCATTCGAATCCCCTGCGTTTCGCCCAAAATAGCGCTTATGCCACTACCTTCGGGGTAGATCCCAATATAACGGGGACAACTGCTCATACATTATGCGGCGCCTTGATTATCTCCTGCGGTTTATTCTCGTCCATGGTTTTGAACACAAACACCTGGTCGCCCGCATCGTGCAACCTCTGGCGCTTTCTCCGTATGGAAACCACGCAGCAAAGCCCGGCACAGCATAGCAGAAGCGCCGCAAGCGCAACGCCGAGCGACACTCCTAGCTTCACCGCCAAAGCGTTATCTTTTCCGTCATCGGCCGTCGGTTCTCCGATTAGAGGAGAGACCGTGTTGGTCTGAGAGGGTTGGTAGAAGGCAACTAGAGTGGGGGCGGCCGAAGTAGGTACAACGGCTGAGAAAGCGGTTAGCGGCTTTGCAGTTAGCGGTTGGGAGACGCTCTGCAGCGACCAAGCGGAGCCGTTCCAGGTGCGGATGTCGCCTGCAAGATGAGGTTATTGAGCCTCACCAATCAAACCAGAATCCTCGGTCACTGATTGAGAACGTATCGACAACGAATCTGCTTTCATTCCACGAGCCTACTGCGGCCCTTAGATATCATAGGATAGTCTCACTCATCCGTTTCGAACACGATTACACGAGGCCATTCTCAAACTGCCGACAAAGTTCGACAGTCGATGTGCGTCCGAAGCGCATCCAGTCGGTCGATCCAGCTTCCTGTTGCAAGGAAAAACAAGGACCGGGGGCGTTCAGAGTTCCCTACCTGAAGTTACGGAATTCTGCAATTCTGAGACTGATGAGAGGTCGAGCACACTTAAGGGTCGAAGCAGTCAGATGGGTCGGTCGAGATCCTGCAATTTGCTGCTTACCTTGCGCGGGCCTCTTCAGGCTTAACGTAGCCTGGACCTGGGTTACGATGGATGACCCGCCGTACGAAGCGTCGACCAGCAGGAGCGGCACAGCGATGTGGCTGGCACGAGAAGAGTCGAAAATCAGCCCACGCTCTAATACACACCAATCACGTTTCAATTCGACAGTACAAATCCAAAAGGCGTGGATTCAACGTAAAATCCTCATATCCGGAAAGCTAAACGTCAATCGCCCCCTTCGTAAGCAGTGTGAATAGAAAGAGTTGTAATTGCATTCTGTTCTTGTTTGCAAACGAGCTTAGCAGCTGAAGGGCGTTAGCAAGTACAGGACCTATCCGTTCCTACTGAAACGGGTCTCGACGCTTGTCATTGGTTCGACAAGATAGCTGTGCTTTCCGGTATATAGACTAAGCTATGCACACACACGAAGCACAGCACACAAAAAAGTTATCCCTTTCAGAAGTTAAGACGAATCGTGAAGTTGGGCAAAAGCTCGGGGAATCGGGCGCTCGAAATGCTCAGCAAAACTTACGTGCGATCGAAGATCGAGTTCAGGCCAGCGTATGACGTCACCGTCACCGCCACCTGGCTCCCTGCGGGAAGGCTTAGATCGGACACGTTCATCGACACCGTCCAGGGGCCGACGATTGTCCGGTAATCGAACGGCTGTAGAGGAGCGGAGCCGATGACTGCACATAAGGAAGAAGCTTTCGATTGCCTTCGTTCTATAGAGACTCTCGGGTCTCGCAGTTTCCTGGCCAGTATGTGCAGCTGGTAAACTGCTGCTAACTCCTCCTTCAGCCCACGTCGATGTCGTTCTAAAATCGACGGTGTCCGATCACGGCCTGGCTGACCACCTTGTTTTACGGAATGGTTACAAACAGTCAGCGCATATGCGCTCCAAACAACGTGCCGTTGGCACAGGGCGCCTCGTTCTGCCGGCCTGATGACTGATGAGACTGCGTGAGCAGATAAGTATGTCGTCAAGAAAGATGACAACACCCCTGTCGAGGAGATCTCCAAAGATCTTGTGCATGAAGTCCACGAACAGCAGAATATGGGATCATCCTGTGTGCAGCTTGGCTATTCTGGAATTTGGAGATTATTATCCATTTCGAGGAGCCAGATGCCGAAAAGGATGGACTTACCATTTGCAGTTGTCATGCTGACATTGCCAGCTTGCAGCGCTCCCGGAAGCGGGGTCGCGCTCAGCCGGCCGCGGCCAATCAGAGTCGGCCACGTCAGCAAACCTGTCGCGTTGGCAGAAGCTGCGGAAGAGCCGGACGCGAGCAGGCTCGCCCAAAGTCTCAAATAGCACTGTGGAAAGAAAGGCGGAGAAGATAAATACCAGTTCATAGAGCCCATGCTAAGTGACAGCTGTCAACTTAGCGCCTTGATTAATAGGAGTATACGGTCAAAAAGGGCACAATCTATGTGACTGAAACTGAAATTGGACATCGTCCTTCGTTCTTGGTAAGCACATCCGTGCCGCGCGGATTGTCTGCCGACATGGAGAACTCGCTGTTGATGGAAGAAAAGCTGAAACGCTTCATTTATCGCAAAAGCTCGCGTCAGTCTCCGGATGGCGGTTTCAGAGCATTTATGCTAACAAAAAGGCGAACGAGAATCAGGAAGCTCATCACGATGGGTAGGGGTGACGCAACCTCACCCCTAGTCACTTATAAAACCTGCGGATCGAGGCAAGCCCAAGGGGCACAGATTAGATTATCAGCGGTCGAGGCAGGCCGCCAGATGCTGAGTCGCGTCTCCAGTCATAGATTTCAGGTTCCTTCAAGTTCAAATGCAACACAGTCGAAACTTTGTTGGTAGGAGTATTCCTCACCTTGGCCGCTGTTTCCGACAAAGTAACTGCCGATTCCCCGTCCGAAACCTTCCTTAAACCCGGGTCGGAGATGTCGAACAGAGCGGCCGCGACCGAAGGCGCAGCTCCCGCCAGCAAATCGTCGCTGGTTCCGGCAAGAGTGCACGCGAGCTGCTCGAGGGCGGAACTGGACGGAACGGCGGAATCTGGTAGAGACTGGACGGCAGCGAGGAGCTGCAAGGCCCAGGCTGCGGTGTCTGCACAAACAAGCGGAATCCGTTTAAGGTTGGAGCGCAACGACGGAATGGGGACTGAGGGGACGCGAGGAGTCGCACCGTCCAAGCTACCTTGTTTGCGGAATCCGTTCCTTAAGCGAAGCGGATCGTTTGAACGGCCGCCTTTTCCTGAATTGAAGTAGCTTCGAGCAGCTGCGAAATCCAAGTTGCGGTTTGCCCCAACAAGCGGGATCCGTTGTCAGTCGAAGCGGAATGACGGAACGGTGGCTTGAGATGCTGCAAGGAGCTGCGAGGGTGAAAGATTGCGAGGACGTTTGAGGTTTCAAGCTGCGGTGGTCGCACCAAAGAGCGGAAAAATGTGAGTAGCCAAGTTTCTGCAAGAATGAGCTCTCTCTTCAGATATGGGGAGTCAACAGATCGTGGAAGCATGGACGAAATTCATCCAGAGCTGGAGGCAACTTCAAATCAACCTGGCTCTCTAAAGTTCACGTCATCAAACGACAGCTTCTTACTTTTTGGTCAGGTGTAGCATTGCTCACCGTTTCTCGTGAAACCGCCACCGCTCAACCCGGCCACGAATCCGAGGGTTTGCAGGAGCCCGGTTAGGTCCGAACCCGCCACCGCCTGCCTGACGGCCGCGGTCACTGTTCTGGCGTCGGTTAAGTTCAAATCCAGCGGCGCTAACCCGTCCTTGACGGCCGGTAGAGTACCGCCGGGCACTGTTACAGGCTCCGGAGCAGTGTAAATCGCGCTGCTCCGGTCCGTACCGGTCACTCTAACCGAGACGAAGAACACCCCAGGCGGCAGCAGGACGGTGACACTTGTCGCCGCGGTGGCTGACGTCAGCGGCAGGGGATCGCCGCCCGCTGACGTCACGATCGCCGGCCGGTAGGAGTAGACGTACGTCAGCGACGGGTCGGGGGCGTGGGTCAGCCAGCCAGAGGCGGTTAGAGCGAAGACGAAGCCCCGGGGGGATCCCCCGACAGGCGCGACTAAGAGTCCGCCGTTGAAGGGGGGTAACGGGCCCGGAATTACCACCCCCCCGGTTGTGAGCGAGGTTTGTCCGTGAACTGTGACGGTGCAGAGGAACCGGGGCTTGCTGTAGGGGGCGAGGGCGGACTTTGGAAGGACCAATGAACGGCCGCCAGCTGTAAAGAGAGACCGTTTGAAGGCGAACGGGGTTTGTCTATTTGTGAAACAACGATTTGCGTTTCTTAGGGTTTGATTGGTCGTTCAGCTTTACTTGCGACGGGCCAAGTGCAAATCAAGTGCGATGGGCCAGAACTCCAATTTTGAGCAGAGAACTACATCCGACGAACACCGGATCCGAAACCGCTTGCCTTGAAGTGCCGTGCTCCTCAACGTATCCGGAAAATCCGAATCGAGGTAGTTCACATGGTAAAAAGGGAAGCAATTGTGTTCGAAGGCCTTGATCGTCAACTATACTGCTCGTCCTTTCGCCTGCTTCAGCTCTATTGCGCTATCTTGTGTACTAGTTAGGAAGAAGACGTTATTTCAGCCGCACGACTACTAAAAGTCAGGTCAGGAACTGTTCTTACATGAAGTTGTGGAATATATTGTTCGACGAGCTCGATCGCAAAGCAGTCTCCGACTTGGAAGCAAGGCTCTCAGTGGTAGTCGTTCTCTTTTGAGTCCCGATGGCAAAAGACTGGAGTGTGAAAGGCAGCGCAAACTGGGCAAACGAAGTCGTTGAAAGTTCAACCGGCGCAGCTTAGATTGAAGATATAATCTCCTCGAAACTTAAGAAATGCCCGCGGGTCACTTACATGTCGTTTTGTTCGCCAAATTACCCAGACTCCCGCCACTCGTCTGCTGCCACGTGTACTTCGCTCCGGCCACCTCCGTTCCATTCCTCTGAGCGGAACACTCCAGGACGGACGCTTCCGAACCGTCGAAAACCGCCACTTGAGCAGACGGCTGCCCAGCTTCGACGATGTAAACCATAGCACTCAGCTCCTGAGTTTCCACTGCGTTAACCGTAACCCCCCGGAGGGTCAGTGCCTCACGAGAAACTGCCACGTGGAAGAGGTACCCGCCCACTGGGAGCGCGCCAGCTGGCACAAGGAGAGTTTCGTTGCTGACCGTCAAGAGAGCCTGAACGGAATCCGGGCAGCTCACAACGGAACCGGACAGAACCTCGCAGCTCCAGGTGTAGCGGACAAGGGGAGTCGCCTCGGTTTGGACCGGGTTGAGGGATAGGTTTAGCGGCTGGTCTGCAGGGAGGGTTTGAATAACCCCTCTGCTAAACTGCAGCTCTGCTAAAGCGGGAAGTCCGACCATTACCTCCACTGTGTCTGAGACGGTTAGCTCTGGGTAACCGGGGGTTATCGCGGTTAACCGGATGCCGTAACCCGGACCCGCTGCTAGAGTGCCCAAGGGAAGGGAAAGGGTGGGGGTCGTCTGAGCGGCTAGGAGGGAAGCGTTAAGAACCGGCCCTGAAAACTGGGTCCAGGTTAACACTAACCGAGGCGGGTTCCCAAGAGTGCCATTGAACCCCGGGGTGGTGTTGAGGCAGGTTAGGTCTGGGAGCGCGATGGTCGACTCGATAACCAGGTTCCGGTTCGAGGCGACCACCTTCCGCCGGAATCCGCTAGGGCCCGGCGGAACGGAGATGGTGACGAGCGGAATGGGGGCGGCGCTCGAGATCATGGTCGTCGTAGCCACGCCGGAAGCGCCGAAGGGGTCGGTTACGCTAACCGAGAAGGTGTAAACCGCCCCAGGAACCAGGGTTCCGGCCGGAAGATGGACCACCGGTTGGGAGGAATCGTGGGCGGCAAAAAGGGCGACCACCGCCTCTGTATTCGCCTGGGACTGGACGCCGAAAACAAACGAAAGCGTCGGGTTGAAGGCCCCTCGCGCGCCAGAAGCGTCGAGGGTGAAGCCGTGGCAGACCCCCACGTTACCCGGGGCGGTTAGGGACGGGGTTAAGGAAGCCGGGGTGGTTAACTGAGTCGCCAGGATGGGGCATACAGTGCGCGGGAGAGAAGCCCCCACCCCGGTTATCGCCCCCGGAAGAAAGTCAAGCGCGTCAGAGCCGTTGAAAGCACCGAGAAGACCGCTCGGTACATTAGCTCCGGTCACGATCCGTAGGGTCTTTTCATCTTTCCAAAAGCACGCCGCTCCCGCACCGAGCGCCGCCAGTTCGGGGGGGGCAAAAAGCCCGGCGCAGGACCCCCCCAAGGCGGAACCCAACAGCCCCTGCTGCGTCGCGCTGTCAAAGCTGACGATCAGACTAGAACCGGAAGCACCGGTGCTGACGTCAGCGATCTGGACCGGCGCGGGCGGTCCGACGGTGACCGCGAAAGGGCTCCCTCGGACATCGGTTGAGTTGACGGCTACTCGCAAAACGTAGTTACCGCTAACCGGGGGTGTAACTCCGAGGGACAACGTGTCCTCGACTTGGGGGTTAAGGATTCCCCCCTCGGCCGGCCCCCCTACGACGGAAACGGCCTCAGCCCCCTTTGGCGTGATTAACGTGACGTTGAAGCTGGAGAGATCCGCCGACGTTGGGTTACCAAACGCATCCCTCACGACCAAGGTTAGAGTAACCCGGTTCCCAACCAAGCTAACCGGGGACCCCATAAGATAAGTAGGCTCGGCTGCTGCGGCGCCCGGTACGACCTTAACCCGGGTTACGCTCCCAGGCACGACCAGACCGGTGGAGTCGTCGGTTACGGCCAGATTATACAAACCGGGGGCGGTTACGACGAACCGACCCTGGTAGAAGTCGCCGCCACGTGGCGGAACGCTGGGGAAGCTCGCAGTAAACGCGCCACGTGTCAGGGTTACGGTGTAACCCAGATCAGGGCGCTGGTACGGGTTACCAAACTCGTCTGAAGCGAGGATGGGGAAAGTGGAGCTGACGCCAGCAGTGACGGTTTTGCTGACGTTTGCGACGGCGAGGTGGGCCGGGCTGAGGGGGCCTGTAAGGAGGCGACACGTGGCATGATGCTGGGGAAAAGTATCCCGCACATCGTTTTCGCTAAGGGACCTCCTTGTCATGTCGCTTCCACAAGACGTCCCTGAAAGGTACCCTCGACGCTCGTGTTCATGTAAGGACGCAAAGGCGATAGAAACGGACGGATTCGCGAGAATAAATCCTGGATTGGCTTTCGTGAAGCAGAACTCCGAAATTTCTACCTTCTGCATTGGGTCATCGTAAGCAGTAACGGAATGTTAGCTCGATTTCGCAGGGGCCAAAAGTGGAGGCTCTCGACCAGCATGGTCCTGCAGAATGAAAATAACATCTACTATCGACTCAAGCGAGCGACAACACTGAATAAAGAAAGGGGACAGCTTTGGACGTCATTGTCTAGTTTCTCGGCTGAATTTTGGCGGCTTTCGCCTTTTCTGTACTGTGGGGCGCAGAATCTGTTTACGTTCCCAGGTTCCCAAGCATTGCAGTCTACTTTGACAGCCACGAAGATAAGCGGATGAAGTGTTGAGAAGGCACGGTCTTTTGAAAGATTGACGCACTTGCCCAGACACAGCTTTCAAGCATAGAGCCAAGGCAGACTGAACATATCGAGTCGACCAGGCCGACCGGGCACAGTACCCGTTTGTAATTCTCTGCGTTCAAATTGATAGCGCCGACTTAAAGCTGACAAATGCAGTTGCATCCACGAAGTAGAAGCTCACCGCTGACAATTGTGACGTTCTGTTGTGCGAGAGTGGCACCCTGTGACGTCACCCGCAGCAGGAAGGTTCCTGCCAGCGTCGACAGGACCGCACCCCGGTACGAACCATCGGGTGACGCTGTCGGGACGTCAGCAGAGGGCTGCAGGAGGACGAGTCTGATCAGGGCGCTTGAAGTCCAAACATCACGGAGCGTGCATTTGCGATTTTGATCTCGCCCAACTGACTTGCGACAGCTTTTCTGAAGCAGTGAAGGCTCTCATAACCCTATCGCAGGGTTCCGAAGATGCTAGTCTCCCATCTACAGTTGGAACGTTCTCGAAGCTGGCTGATTCACCGTTACATGTTACTAGCCAATCAAGGAATCCGTGCAGGTTGACTGAAGATCAAGTCTGCCGTTGTATCTTTTACGATCACAGAAGCGAAAGCAGATTAGACGGCCTCACATCAACCCGTTTCGCATACTAAGTCAAGAGCAGTGATTTGAGCAATTTGTGATAATGGGGGATCAGGCAAAGGGGGCCTCGGCACAATCCTGAGGGCAAAACGATGGCGAATCAGGCAAAGATAAGCTGACGATACAAAGTGAAAGCCGCAAGAATGCCTGAATGTAATTCGGGCACGACCGAAGTGTAAGCGGCACTTGGTAGCATGTCTCCAATCTCGGCATCTGACCGTCGCTAATAAAAATCTCCACATCGTTCCATACTCAGCGCCTTGGAGAGAAGCTAAACAAGGTTTGAAGCCGAGAGCCTCAACCGAAAAGGCTGCTTACCGGCGCCATGTCAGGGGGAGTTGTCTGCACGAATTGAACCGTCAGCGGATCCGGGCCGTCGAGAGTGGCGTTCCGCAGGTTTCCGTTGCCGTCGTACAGCCGCACGGTGTAGGCCAGCGGCATTCCGGCGGTCCCTTCCGCTGACGCCAGAAGGACCGTTGATGACGGATCGAGCGGGCCTGCGGGAAAAAGTAATGTTCTCTCCCCTGGCCTTACGTTCGTTTGATGAAAGCAGTGTCGTGTGGACAGAAGCTCAGGGGGTCGACGGCGCCTTTTTAATCCGCTTACAGGTGTCAAGTAGGAAAGATCATTCGGTTAATTAGAGTTCTCTTGTGGTTTGTCCCATCCGCTGCAAAATCAAAGGTTTCCATAAAAACGTCGTCAATCTTTTCCTTGTTGTTAGCTGAAAGCATTCCGACTTACAGCAATAGTCGGGATGTACAAACTTCGTGTCGCAAGGACGACCAGACAACGATCACAAAGGACCGGTTTCCCGTATATGGTTTTAGGAATCTGAAACCTTGCGACTTGGACTCACCTGGAGGGACCTCAAGTGTAAAGTTCTTAACCGCCCCGCCATTAACCGCGTAGCTAACCCCATAGCGCCCCGCCCGCCGCACGCTTATACTCACACCCACGGCCGTCCGCCCGGAGTCGTTTCCAGCCGTCTGAACAATGAAATCCGCCGGACCCAGACCGGCCACGTGGCACTCCACCGTGAACGGAGCTGGGGAGAAGGGAACGTCACGCGACTGGGCGTCTCTTGCCACGATAAACAGCCTGGTAGGACCAGAACCGACTGGTAGGCCGACAAGAATATCGGTTATATCCTGCCCGGTAGAATCAACCGCCACAGACGTGGACGTATTCACATTGCTGGCAGAAGCCCAGACGGTAAGGCTGACGGGCGCCGATGTGAACGCCTTCCCGTCAGAGTTGACCGACGCCGCCAGGGTGACGTTTCCGCTCGTTTCGGGGGGGAGAAAATCCACCCGGACCAGCCCCCCCGGAAGAGGAAGAACGGTCGCGTTACCAGTAACGGTGGCCCCAGGAGTGGTAATTGTCGCAACTAGAGAAGCGAGCTGCAGGGTGTTGACGGTATTCCCCTGAGAGTCGCTTGCCTGGACGAAGAAGTACGACAGAATTCCGCCCACGGCACCGGAATCGACGGCCGGACCGAAAGCCACACCCTGGTTTGGGTCGAAGTAACCCGCCTCGACAGCGATCTCGAACGGCTTCCCCGTCGTGACGTCAGCGATCTGCTGGGGGCTGACGTCTGAACTGGCGACAGGTAGCGAGACCCGGAGGATACCGGAAGTGGGGGGGGCGAAAGTTACCGAGTAACCAGAGCCGTTGACCGTCGGGGTTAGGGTGGGGTTTGGAACTGGGATCAGAATTCTCTGGTGGGTCGTGTGGTTGTAATGGAGAATGGAAAGAGAGGGGAGGAGGGTGGTCGTCGGGGCGAGGGCGTTGCCGAACGAGTCCTGCAGAAATCCCGAGTACGAGATCATAAACGGCTTGTGCGCTTCCGTAACACTGCATCTCTAGTGACAGAAAGTGTGCCACCTTTTGAGTTTCAAGCAGGTTTGATCGTCTAGAGCAACCTGCGTTGAATCAGTCGAAGATGCCCAAGCTCCCGTTTGAAGGTAGTAGCGAAGTCGGCGCACGAAGCTTTCCAACTCTTCGTGCGCAAAGCGCGTGGTTTGAGGGCGAAGTACACGAACCGAACACAATACAAGCAGGTGATTACTGTCCACAGGAACAATCAGAGGAGCATGTATCAAAAGCAATCTGACCGTTCGGTTCAGAATGAAAAACGCCTCTAGCTTCTCTTCAACGGTGCAGGACACAGGATGACTAACAAGCAGTCGCTCTGTCGCGCCTTTTAGTAAGATGGACAGAAAGACCCACCAAGGTACGAGTTTCAAGTGCTGGAAAGGAAGTGCCAAGTCCCCGACGCTCCCTGTGAGCGAGATGCTCGGTTCAAAGAGCCAAACAGCAAGAGAAAAGAATCATCGTCCCATCAATCGCTGAAGTCGCTGTAAATGCAAACAATTCGAAGTCTCAAAAATGACTGACCTTGAGATAGATGGTCAGTCGCTCCGAATTCCCCGCAACCAGATACGGCTTGCCGTTCCAGTCCAGGGAACTCCGCCCCGGGTCCAATTCTCCGGGGACCACTTGCACGTCCAACCGACCGTTCGAAACAGTCTGCCCGGCCAGCTGTATCAGCACGGTAAACTGCCCAGTAGACATGAACCGGAGCGGCAGTACGAACCGCCCGTTTTGCGCGAACGTCCCGTTGGGGATAGGCGATGCGCCGAGGGGCATAGGAGCCGCGCCGTTGCCGCTGCTTACGGCCGCGGTGAAGACGGTCAACGTGTCGTCATCCACGAGGTTGCCGTTGGAATCAACGGCCAGGATCTCGACCGCTGCGATCGCGCCAGCTGTCACCGTCAGGGACGACGGCCCAACCACGGAGCTCCGTGCCACGTCAGCAGGTCCAAAGGAGGCATAACCGGCGAATATAAGCGCCTCGCCGTTGCGCATAAGCTTTACTTGGAAGGGCCCCGGTTTTAACACCGTGAAGTTTGCCCGGTAGAGCCCCCCGCCCACTTCCGCCAACTGGGCGCCCGCATAAGTGCCTCCGTCCGACGCCAGCACGGCATACGCTATCGCCGTTCCGTTTCCGGTGTCAGTCGTGTTCCGGCCGGAACCGTGCACGAGCTGCACGGAGAGCCCCAGCGGCGCCCCTGCCGGAGCCACTGGTGACGTCAGAGTGACGTCAGAGGCGTCCGATCTGCCCGGGAAACGGACCACGCTCCGGTTGAAGCTGACGGCGCCACCTGTCACGCTCACAGCGAACGGCGAACCGCGGATCTGCTCGCCGCCCCGCGAAACGGACACCCTCAGCTGCCCCACTCTCGGAGGCGTCCGGAAGCTGACGTCATAGGTGCCATCCCCGTTGTCGGCGACCCCAGTCGCTCGCCACGTGGCAGGGCTGCCGACGTCAGCGGTCGAGATTGTGACGTCGAAAACGGCGCCGCCCCTACCGACTGGGTTTCCAAAGGCATCTGTCGCCAGGATTTTGAATTGGGCTGTGCTAGAAAGGAGCAAAGCGGGGAGGGATCCCCCGGCTTCGTCTCTGCCGACCCCGGGACCGAACGCCGTGCTCTGATTGGCCGCGACGCTGCCAGCCTGGACCCACGTGCCTCCGTAGCCGGGGATTGTGAACGGTTGGCCGTCGATCTCAAAGGAAAGTAAGCCCGCGCCAGTCCCTGAAGGCAGGTAGCTCCCGACCCATACCTTACGGGCTTCGTCATAGGCTATCGACGTTGCCGCGGCTGAAGGGAAAACGCCGAGGGAGACGTTGGTGGGGGGCGCGGCGGAGTTGCCATAAGCGTCCCGGGCTATGATAAGCACCTCGGTGTATTCGCCGGCGAAGGCGGAGGCCAGCCCGCTCCCGAGGACGGTCGTCTGGGTGACGTCAGCAGGGGCCGACGTAACGTTCCAGGAGAGGGGGGGCACAACGTCCACGAGCCCGCCGCTTTTGAGCGACCCACGAAGGGTGTAGAGGCCCGCTATGGTCGCCTGAACGGTGACGAGGAACGAAACGGACGGGAGACCGCTCGGCTGGACTCTAACAACGGACGCAACAGAAGCGACCGCCTTTCCGGGCCCCGTTACAGTCACCGTGAGCTCGTCCAGGGCTTGGAGCATAGAGTCCTGCGGGTTGCCTTCCGCATCACGAGGCCCGACCGAAATCGCCATTCCGCTTCCGGCCGGAACGCTCGAAACGTTCGCCGAAAGAACGGTTCGTTCCGCCACCGAAGGGCCGGAATACGCGCCGGTCACCAGCACCCCCCCTCCCGGCCCCGTGATTTGACCCCCCCCCAGCAGTTGGACGTCCAACTCGTACCCCCCGGTTCCGTTCACGCCCCGCACGAAGCTGCACCGGTACGTACCGTTCGCTTCTACCGGGCACGCCCGGTTGGCGAAGGCGGCCGGGCCGTCAGGCTGCGCCATGGAAAAGCTGACGGCGTCAGGGCCGTTGCCGTTCAGTAACGGCGTGCCGTTCTGGTCGACTAGCGTTACGTCGAACCAGGTCGAGTCCCCGACTGGTCCTGGAGAAAGTCCCGGGCCCTCGGCTAGGCTGAGGTCAGCAACCGGGGGCCCGACCGTTGCCGGGTCCGTCACCGTTACTGTTGACGGGCTACCGCCCACTAATCGGGAGTTTATATGGGCGGTGATTTTGAACTGCTGACCTGGTTGAATGGAGGGAGAAACAGTGTAGGCGAAGGAAAGGGACGTGCGATCGGGGGAGGAAACCGGGACGCCTTCGAGGGAGACGGTTTTGAGGGGGGCGTTAGTCGTTGCGTTCGTGAAGGCGATCGTGACGTTGAATGGGTCGAGAAGCGCCTTGTTGCCGAAAGTGTCATAGCCCTACAGAAGAAGCAAAGCATCTGGTTAGAAGCAAGTACAAGCGGTATCCAGTGCTCGAAGGAACTTTCAGCCGTTTGGTTCCAGCTCAAATGACGAGGACTTCAAGGCCAGTAAAGAGGACCTGGAGAGCAATCAAAATCTCGAGCTGGGGCGTTGAGCCGCTTCCTTACATGGCAGCACTAGCCGTGACCAAAGCCATTTTCGTGCTAACGGAGCTAAACGAAACGAGCATACGAAAATTCCGTTTCCGGGCCGCTATTGTGGTCGAAGCAGAACGTCGCTTCAACAGGCCTTGCTTGTACGAGCTGCGGTCGAGTCTTGGGCCGTACAGCCCCGTTTCTTAAAAGCTTCAAAGGTTGTTACAGACGAAGGCGGGGCTCTTTCCAAAGCACAAATTACAAAGCTCAAGGGCCACCCGAGGTCAAGTCTTCGCATTGAAACTGACTTGGGAACCAGATATTTCCGATGCATATTGGGAAAAGTTATCGAGCTTTCGAAGTAAGCAGTTTAGACCAGCCTCTCGGCTTCACTGAAGCTAGCCTCAAGTGCGTAAAAGGTTGCTCGCAGAAACATCTTCGACCCCGTTTCTGCCGTCCTTTGCGGCTGAGACTCACGAGAAAAGGAGCTCCACAGCGAATGCGCTCCGGAAAGGCAGTCTGTCCATACCGATTAACGTGGATTGGAGCTGACACAGTACCTTACACGCCAGCATAGGAGATCTTCAACCTTCAAGTGTTAAAACGTACGACCACGTTCTGACGAGTCAACAAGAGCCCAAGAAGATGTATGGAAGTTTGGACACAAACAGGAAATCGCTAGCTCGCGACCGAAAGCCTCTTCGTACGTTGGTCCGACTACAGGTTCGTCGAAGATTCTACCTTTTATGATTTCCGTTGTCTTTGTGACTAGAATCTTGTTTGAAATGGTCAGGAAGGCGTTTCGAGAGGCAGCTCACCAGCAAAGTGAAGCGCCCCCGGCCTCCCACCAAAACCCTCGCCAAACCCGCGCCCCACGCGAGCGACGTCGCCGGATCCACCGGCCCCGCCGTTACCGCCTGACGGACCAGACCGTTCCCAGCCAGTCCGTTTCCGCTCGTTCCGTTGACCTCCGTGAACAGAACGCCGGCTTTCGTCACGGCGAAGTTGGCGAAGTACTTTCCGCTGGGCGGATCGAAGCGGACGTCTAGAGGGTTGGAGAATGAGTGCACGGGGAAGTCTTCGGGGAAGAAAGTGGCGGAGATTCCGGCTTGGATTGGCGCGAGCGGAAAGCCGTTGTTGTTGACCGGGGAACCGAATGCGTCCCGGGTTTCGATGACAGCAACCTGAAATGGAACACACTTCTATTAGGACCAAGATCTATCTCTTCGTATTGGCCACCGTTCATCGAAGGTGGACAATGAAACCTGAAGCCTCTTGCTTGAAAACGACTTCAAGATACAGAACTTTCTGTATCATATTTTCGTTGCTGTTGACCGGGGAACCAGATGCGTCTCGCGCTTTGTTTACAGCGACCTGCGAAGAAAGAAAAGGTTAAGGCCAGAATAACCCGCGGAGTTGTCTTGCCGCTGTTTTCCTGCTTCGCTTTCTGCAGCTTCGATCGAAAGTTTAACAGAACACGCCTTGTGACTGGTTGGCTTTTGGTCCCGGGGACTCCATTATCCAGTAACGAAGGGATCTGAGAGGGACAAGTTATCGTGCAATGGGTCAAACTGAGAGCGTTTCTCGTTATATGGCCCACAGGAATGAACCACTGGCAAACGGCGTGACCAAAAGATGCGCAACGATAAGAACGACGACTGCCTTTACGACATACATGAAGAAGCGCTTTCCTTTGTAGTATTCGTTGTTGCCCAAAGTAATCCGAATCTTTGAGACAGGAGGGTTCAAAGAGGTTTGACACACTTTCGAAAGAGCGAAAATACAGTTTCCGGGATGGAAGCTCTCGCGACTAAAAGGAAGTGGACGTCGGAAGTTTTAGCAGATGGAGCCAGATATCTCTGAATGAGATCAAAAACGCATAACTGTATCAACTCAACGATCAATGCGCAAGCCAGCTTCAAACAATCTGGAAACCCTGAATGGGGAAGCCCTCAGCTCTGCTTCTTTCTAGGAGGTATGACTTTACGTCGCCTCTCGCATGTTCCATTGAAACATAAGTAGCGAGTAAGAGAAGCGCAGCCCCACCTCAAACGAGTTGCTAGCGATCAACGGCTCTCCATTCGCTGCCGCATACACGACGGTCTGATCGAACGCCACGTGGCCCTGCGTCACGTTGACGACCATCCTCCCCCCGGGCACATCTACGCCCCCTAGTTGCACCACGAGACTGTACAGAAGCGCCCGGTACGGTACGAACCGGGCGAGAACGGTCCCGTTCCCAAAGTCCACAATGGAGGTTTCGGAGGCTGGGGTTAAGCCCCCGGTTTGGTTAACCGGCTCCGGGTAAGCCTCGAAGCTAAGCGCGGGTTCGCCGGGCACTCCTTGGCCCGGACCGGGGATCCCCCTGACGTCACATAGGGTTATGGCGAGCTGGTACGAGTGCCCGGTAGAAAGCACCGGGGGACCACGCGCCATTTGGACAAGATCGAGAACGGAGACGCTGCTCAGGTTAGCAACGGCAGGGCCCCGTCTAACCGTCACCGCGAACGGGCTACCCGCGATTGCCTGCGCCGTGCCGTTTGCTGACGTCACAGTTAAGTTGACGACATACGTCCCTGGGGCGGAAGCGGTGTAGCCGACGCGGTATGCGCCGGAGTCCAGGTTTTCCATGGGGGAAAGAACCGGGTGGGGAGAGCCGAGGACAGGAAGGAAGGACGCATTCACACTGTCACCGGGTTGACTCCCCGGGTTTCCGAACCGGTCCCTTAACTGGACCGTGAACGAAGTCGATACTTCGGCAATTGCGGTGTAAATGCCCGCCCCACTGGCGTCAGACTTCGCAGCAGACGTCGGCCCCGGAAGAATTGACACTACAATTTTGGACCCAGGTACTTCCTCTCCGGCGACCAGCATGCGCAGTGTCAAGTTCCCCGGTTTGGTCGGCCGGTCTGAATACGCCACAACGCCCTCGGAAAACGACCCGCCTTCGACGGTGTTAATTCTCTCCACTGTCGCACACCCGTTGTTGCTCAAGGTCGCCTCCAAGATGACGTCAGCAGAGGCCGCCCCGGTCGTAACGCTGTTGTTGAACGCGTCTCTGAGCGTTACAGCAAGGTCTACGCTACTCCCCGCCGTTACTTGCGCCAAAGGCCCGACGCTAAAAGAAGCGACGGAAGCTTTTGCGGCGGGAGGCCCCGCAACGACCGTCGTCGCCATTCCCCCGTTAACAACCGGGACTGAGTCCACGAGCACATCGACCAAAACGGGGCCCGCTTCGGAAACGGTCAGGTTCGCCGTGAAGTAGCATCCGGCCGAGATCCGCTGGCAGAACGGAAGCCCACAGCCGGCGGAACGGACGCACTCGGCAGCGGAAGTGGCCCCGGAGACGGTCCGAATCGTCACAGAACAGTTGACTCCTGGGGGAACGTCCGGGTTGCCCCATTGGTCCGTAAGGTTCACTCGAACCGCTGACGTCAAGCCCGCAACTAGAGACGCCCCGAGCCTCGAAACCGCCGTCTTTGCCAGGTTCACGTCGCCGGCGGACACGGAGACAAGCGGAGCGGAACCCGAGCGGAACGGAACGCCGTTGAGCGCGCCTTGGAGAACGTATTGCCCGGCGGTTTGAATGCGGAGCTGGGAAGTGAAGACGTTGGAAGCGCTATCGAAGGTGACCGGGAAAGGGCCGACGTCTGAGGCCGATTCTAAAGAACACCCCGGGACTGGGGAGGCGGTGATTGAGAATCGGTAGGGGGCGGAAGAGAAGCCTGGCGTGCGGTACACCTGTGAAGAGAAAAAGAGGGACAAGTATGCAGTTGCTGAACAGGATTGAAACGGGCAAAGAATTACAGGGTCGTCTTTCTTGGAGAAGGCTCGTCAAGAAGGATGGTCGGAATTGAAGCTGGAAAGAAAGCTTTGGCGGTTCACTGTGTCTAAACAAGAACGACGGATCTCAATGTACACATTGGACGGCGTATCTGAGAATGGTCGAACTCCTGCGAGCAGGTAAAAGGCCGAAGCAACCAGTGCTGCCGTCAGGGAACGCATATGAATCACCAAGTCGCAATCGACCTTAGTTTCGCGATACAGAGGAAAGTGGAAGGCGATCTGATCAAAACTCGAAGGAGACTGATTCCAATTCCAGAAAAGAGTCTCGAAGCGCCGATTCTGAAATCAGGAAAACTAGTGAACGCGGCTGCAATATATGGAAAAAGCCTGGTAGCTTCCCGCCGCGAAACCCCTTATACTCATCAAATGTATGCTTCACAAGATTGGTTCAGATAAGCCAACTGGCCACTCTCATATGCATAGGTCAAAAGCCCTCCCGGCTACAAAAGCGGGCGCCTTCATTCAGCGGCCATACCTTACTGCAAACTTGAAACGGTTGTTATTGCCATGCAGGTTTGAAGTGACCCAACTTCTCGACAGTCTTTCATGAAGTGAAGGGAGTTGACCCGTTAGTGCCGTTTGCTAAACTAAGCGGCCTTGTAAAGAGGAGCGCAGTCAAAAGGCACGCTCATCGACCCGGCAGAAATACGTTCGGGACCGTCGATCGATGGGGGCAGCCCCCAAGTTGAGACCTCCAGATCGTCCAATGGGCTTGGCATTTAAAGCTCCCCACCAGCTGCAAATGCGTATCCTACACTTTGCTGACGACGCCTTCTGGTAACCAGAGTGAGGGCGTCGCTGCGTTCCCGAACTTTCGTCTTGACACATCCTGCCCACTCGGAGTACAAAAGCAGATTGTGTCAAAGCCCCAGAAGCGTGCGTACTGACTGAGCGATTCTGCCTCCGGCCGCGAAAGAGGGTAGGGAGCCTCGTATGATAGTCGGTCCTTACCTGAGAGATGTTGTTGACGTCACGCACCGCCACCCGAGCCAACACTACGTCTCCTGCCCGGTACGTACCGTTCGCTGCCGTCACCAAGGACGTCACCTCGCTCGGAGGCCCCGGCCACACCGTCAGCTGCAGGGGCGCGGTAACGTTCAACCCCGCGGGGCTGGGGAGCGTTACATGTCCGGTCGAAATGGAAACGCTGTAAACCCCGGCGCCTGTCAGAGTGTAAGGGACCGTGAAGAGGCCTCCGGTTCCGGTCGGGAGGGCTTTGATGGGCGGAAGAGTGACGTCATCACGGGAGAAGGTGACGGAGAAACCGGCGGACGGGAGGGTGACATCAGTCAGTTGGCGGCCGGCGGAATCAACGGCCACGATCTGGAAGGAGGAGTTCCGGCCGGCTGGCGTTGCCTGCAAGAGCGGAAGGGGACGGTCAGTGATGGCGAAGACCTGCTTTAACTTTTGCATCGACAACGTTTGATTTGTCTCGTCGTTCCTGCACCGAAGTTTTCTAATCGACTAACCAGATGCGTCGATTGGTACAAAAGAGAGCCCTAGTGGGACAAGCATGCGTTCGATGTCGAAAAACTGGTGCGAAGCTGGAGTGATCTTTCCTCGATGTTCTTCTGGCCTTCGGAAGTCATTCTAAGAGCATTGGACTTCAAGGACAATTGCTACGCGAGGGAAAAAAGCAGAAGGTCAGAGTGGCGAATCTCCAGAACGGAAGTTCTCTCTCGGTACAACTCGATCTGAATTTGATGAATGGAGCAGGAGCATAAGCTGACGCCTCACCTTTTTCGGACATTTTCACATAAACCATGGAACGAAGAATAGAGGACGAGCATTGGAAAGAATTTGGAAGCGCGGAGCCCCAACAGACTTGAAAGAAGCAAGAGCGGAAAAGGTGGATTAGCAGACAGATTAACCTCCGGCGAAGAACGAAACATGAGCAACATAGAAGAAGTAGCTAATAGGTAGAAAGAGAAAGCCCAGAAAGAGAGATACACAAGATCTAAAAGCAAAGAGAAGGGGCGAGACAGGATGAACCCGCCTTCAGTCCTTTCACTTGTTGACCTTTACGTAAGTGCATACTCTCAGCACGGATCGAGCAACTGAGTGTACCAAAAACGAAGCCCAGAGAGAACGAAGACGAGTAGGTAACGACGAAGAAGAGAAGACGCACCTTCAGTCTTGCACAAGACACGCTGCGCAGAGAACGGACCGTTCGCACCAAGCGAAGTCACGATTCGAAACCAATTAGGTTCCATTCTGCTAGCAGCTTCATTCACGGACTACGGAGCTAAGGGAAATGTCAAAACGGATAAGCCAAACAGGAGAACGACGAAGACAACCAGAGAAGGGCGAAGAATAGACGACCTACCTGAAGTCCTCGCAGAAACGAGCGCTCCTCAGGAATGGACGATTCGCAAGAAAGCGCTGTCACAATAACCGGAAACCAGTTCCACGTTGATTCAACGGTCAAAGAGCTGAGGGAATTCGAAAACAAACGAGCCACACGGAAGAACGACAAGACAGATAGGGAAGGGCAAAACATAGAACCCACCGTGAGCCCTTGCACAAAGGAGCGTTCCGCAGAGAACGGACCATTTGCGGCAACTGCTGTCACAGCAACCCGGGACCCAATCTGCAGACAAATTCCCGAACTGGAGGATTGCCAAAAGAGATTTGGGACACGGGGGAACGACAAGTCAACTAAGGATGAGCAAAGAAGATGAGACCCACCTTCAGTCCTTGCACAAACGAGCGTTCCGCAGAGAACGGACCGTTTGCGGCAACTGCTGTCACCACAGTTGGGGATCCAATTGGCTGACCGTCGATAAGAACGGAAAGACTGTACGGCCCGACCGTTGCTGACGTGTACTTGAGGCTGTAGGTTCCGTCGGGGTTCGCAGTGACCTGAAAGAAAAGAAACCAGTAAGTTCCCGTATGAGCATTCATGTGGCGAGAGTCTGCACTAGTCGAATGAGAGATATTCTTGTGAAGGTGTTGCGAATCTGGAATATTTGAGACCCGAACCAGATCGCGGCTTCTTTGTCGGAACTGGCAGCTGATAAAGCCGCTTTGTATAAGTGCGTAGGATGACCGACATTTCAATACACTGAGCTCGAGACATGCAAAGACAGAAACTTGTAACATGGAAATGGAAGCGATGGTCACATCGAAACAGGCTCGCGATTCGCTGATTGAGGACCTCAGCATCTTTTTCGAACAAACAACGAGACACATCGGTTTCAGTACGTCCCATCAACATGGTCGACAAACAACTTCTGTTCGCTACACCTGAATTCCGAAGTGGCACGCGAATCCTGAACTCGCCCATGCCGTGAACAATGGACTGCTCGATTGACAGCGTTTTGCAACAAGAGCGGCGTAACGTTGGAAGCTTGATGTCACTGTTCAGATTCGTTACCATATAAACTACTAATCAGTATGAAGCAGCTGGTCAGATGGAGACTGCAGAAATTGAACCTGGCTTACCGCACTAAGGCGGAAGGGAGTAGGAGGCGTGCCTCTGAGCACTTCTTTTCATTAAGTGGTCTTCGGTGGAAAGCGCTCCATGGTTCATTGTCGAATGCAGACACGGAAGCGTGAAGACTTACTCCAGAGCGCAACATTTTGTGATTGCTTATGCCAGTCGGCAGGTTCCACTGACGAGCTGCTTGTGGCCAGAATTTATATCTCAAGACTGAAGATCGAAGTACTTGACAGCAGATGGTCGCATACATACATACAGAGGAACAATCATAAGAGAGACGAGGGAGAACCCACAGTTACTCCGGGCTGCACGTTGGGTCCGCTTGCCACCCCCCCGGCTGACGCGACCATATCGCTGACGTCACCATTGCCAAAACCCGGCGCCAGGCTTGCCGCAGAGCCGTTTCCTGCCGGTGTTAGGGCGGCCGTCACTAATCCCCCCGCTAACCCCGCCGGGTTACCATGTTCGTCCCGGGGGGTAAACATTACCTCAGCTGGGACCCCCGCCACTGCTCCGGAAAGGCCCGCTCCTGAGAGAGTGCTTTTCTGGGGGGATGGGGGCCCAGGAATTGTGGAGACGAAAAAGGGACTGCCAGGAAGGGGGATGCCGGAGAGAGTCACGGAGATTGTGACTGTGCCCACGTTTGGGGGGGTGGGGAACGAGATGAGGGAAGCGACCCCAATCTGGGTTAAGCTAACGGGTAAGGTTTGGGTTCCATTTTGCTGGAAGAGGAGCCCTGTAGCGGTGAATTGGGCGGGAGTTGACACCTGGTTGGAGTCCAGGAACGTAGCGCTAACCGTGGGGTTGAGGGCAGGGTTTGGCGTAACCATATTGTCAAATCTGTCAACCAAGAGCACCGTGAAGTTAGCCCCCATTCCAACCACCAGCTCTCCCCCGGGCTCCAGACCCAAAACCCGTGACTGAGCCGAAACCGCATCTCCTGGGGTTACAATAACCGCAGGGTTAAGCCCGTTGGTTAAGCTAACCGTCTGCCCCTGGGTGTAGACCGTCGCAGAGAGAGTGTATGCCCCTGCCAAAGTCAGCGCAAAGCTGACGTTGACGAAGCCGTTGATAACAGGGCCTCCGCGAACGGCTGGAAAGCCAGCCGTTCCCTGGGGCCCTATAAAGGACGCGGACACGAGGTATGCGTCGGCGCCCCCGTTGAAGAGCTGGAGGGTGACGTCATTTTGTTGGCCGGCTGACGTCGTGATGGGGGTAAAGACTAGGGGTTGCAGAACCAGGGCCGCATCTGCATGAAACAAAGGGG